TTCAACTTATCCAGAGCTGAGCAGCAGTCATGGAAAAAACACTCTGGGCACTTATTAGCTGTCTTTTTAATATGATTTTAAAGCAAGAAAACAGACTGTACATCTGATCATCTTACGCTAAGCTTTTTGCCCCAGCACAGAGGAAGTGCCCAGTGGTGCTAAGAGTATGTGCAAAATGAGCCTTATATAACATTAGAACAGCAGAGATCAACAAATATCCATAGACAGGGCTGTGGAACTCCAGCCCACAAAACTCTTCTCTGAAACACAGACTTTTCTGAACATAAGCCAACTGTACAGAACCACAGCCCAGGAGGCCACAGCAAATGAGAAGTACAAAGAGGGGGGAAAACTTGCCACAGGGCAGTTTTCCATTCCACCTGAAGGATGGTGGAAAACTGAAGAAACAACAGGCTTTCTAGCAACACCTCAGAGGAATCTACAACCTGCTGAAGGTTCTCTGGGAAGGACTGAGGTTTCCTGAGCTAGCTCCTGCTCAATTCAGCTGGTAGACAGCAGAGGCATACATGTACATACCATATCAATGACCAGAAGTGGGGGAGCATCTTCTCTCTTAATGGGCAGAAAACTTCTCTTCACCGTCAATGGCAAGGTTGCTATCTTGCATTTCATGGCCGACAAGTACCAAACAGTTAGAATATCTCATCCAAGGACTGATTTCAGTCAGTGTGTAGCACAACACCAGGCTGCTTGGATACAAACTTAACACAGAGGTCCCAATAGTGCTCCTGAGGTCAGCATGGTTACTTCTCCGTTGAAGCTTTGGCTTCCATGTCGTTGCAACTTCCCTAGTGCTGCAAGTGGGTTTAGCAGGCATTCAATTAAAGCAATTCTACCTGCCATTGCGTTTCCCTGGGTTTCCCTGGTTTGCAGAGGATAGGTAAAATAAAAGAGTGAAACCAACAGAAACAAGGGATGTGAGTGTATATACAAATAAACCACACATTTGCTCTGCCTGCAAGACCTACAGACTGTGCCTGGGGTTGCAGACCAGCCATTACAGCCTAGGAATCATGTATTTCAGCACAGTTCTTAACTCAGTGCTAATTTGCCTGAAGAATCTTTGGGAATTGACTTCCACATGCTGTCCTTTCCCCATGCAAAGGAATTTACAGAGTTTGGAAAACTGGAAGTAACCAGCTGAGGCAAGGCCTGGAGGTAAGAACAGGGGAAACATTGTACTTGCTGTTGTGGTTTATCCCCAGCCACAAACTCAGTACCACACAGCCACTCACTCACCACCACCCTGCCCCATCCTCAGGGCAGAGAAGAAGTGGAAAAAGTAAACCTCATGTGTTCAAGTAAGAACAGTTTAATGATTGAAACAAAATAGATACAATACTACCAATAAGAATAACAACAATAATTGTGATGAAAGGGAGAGATGGAGAGGAATAAAACCCAAGAGAAACAGTCGATGCACACTACAGTTGCTCACCAATCACTGATCGATGCCCAGCCCATCCCTGACCAGCCATCCGAGCTCTTGGACAGTTTATGAACTAAGCAGGAAAATTCATGGTATGGAATATCCCTGGTCGTGCTACCCCCAGTTTCCTGTGCAATTGCTTGCTAGCAGAGCATGAGAAACCGAGAAGTCCCGATGTAGGGCAAACACTACTTAGCAACAACTGAAACATCCATGTGTTATCAACATTATTCTCCTGCTGAATCCAAAAAACCACCACCTACTAAGAAGAAAATCACCTCTATCCCAGCTGAAATCAGAACACTCATATGACATCTCCAAGGTTTACTCTGACAGCTCTTCTACACCACTGTCACAACCTCAGGCATCATGCAGCCTGGTGCTCACCTATTCATACCAACACCAGCTGCATCTCTGTGGGCCTAGCAAAGCCTGGCTTTTTGGTCCAGGCTGCAGAGTGTAAAGCATGAGAGGAGATTTCTGCTCAGAGGCTCTGGATGATGATGCTAGTTCAGGTGCTGCTGTGTGTTTGGCCTGGACATCCACAGCTGGCCTGAAGAATATTTGCAGGTGCAAAACCATTGGTATGTAGGGATGTTGCCCATTCCAACCACCTTACCACAACATGGACAGGACACCTAAACTTGGGTGATAGGGCTGGCACAGACTGCAAAAATGGACGCTTTTGATAGAGGTATAATTGTAACAAGCAAACAGACCTGCTATCAACACCATGTTTACAAGAAAACACAATTAAAATTTTTCTTCCTATCTATAAATTTTGCTTCTCTGATTGCCTTGTTACTTTCTCAGAATCTATTCTTTATACTAGAAAGTCCACATCACAAAAACAAGCAAAACAAACAAAAACACCATCCCAAAACAAACAAACAACCTCCCTCAAAAATGAAGCAGAAAAAGCAACAATAAAAAAAAACCCAACCACCAACTCTAACATGACCCTTTATAAAATCTTAGTCCTTTTTGAAACCACTGTACTAATGCCTGATTAGCAGGAGACTTAGTGGATCTGGATCCGTAGGCAGAAGTGTGTTCACTCTTGCTTCTCCCATGCTGATATCAGCTTTGGCCATATCAAATCACAGAGCAAACAGAAGAGTTCTGACAACCTCCACCACTCATAGGAAATAGCAGTGATACCCCTCCAAAGCTATGTGTTATCGTGACCAGCTATCCACAGCCACTCTGGAAAGAGCCAAGACGTTCCTCTTTCCATCCTCCTCTAGCTCACAGTTCCCCCTTTTGTGGTCGATTGGTCAAAGAAGTGAATGTTACTCTGTGTCTCCGCAGTGTGGCTTAGCTAAAGGTCTCAAAATGGAGGTGTGAAAGGACAGGAACTTTTCTGAAAGGTTTCCACTACAGAACAGGAGCTCTCACTTTTTGCAGCTTGAAATAAACCCTACTCACAGCACAGAAGCAAGTGCAACCACAGTGGGTTTGAGCAGGAAAAGCCTTCACAGGGGGGCTACTAAAGGATGGGGGGGGAAAGGAGGTGGTTCTCTGTCACCAGAAAAAGTACTGACACTCAGTTCTTCCACTCACAGTCAGGCCCTCCATGACAGCCACAAAAGTGAACTCAAGAACTGACCACTGAATGACAATATAAAAACTCTGGAAAGAGGGCAGACAACAGCCACTTTCTGCTCTGCCTTGACACAGAAGGCACCAGCAATGAAGCTCCACACCGCAGCTCTTCTCATCATCCTCTGCCTTGGCATCTTCACTGGGCACACAGTGAAAGGTAAGTTTGCAACCCCACAGGGAGACAGGAATTGCATCACATTGCACCAGTGGTCTGATGAGCAGGATTCCTTCTCAGACAGAGCTGATTTATAAGACAAAACGTGTAGGAAATCCAGATCAGAACCACAAGAAAGGCAGCTTTATGGGAGATTTCATCTGATGTCCTGACAATTAGTGGTTGGCTTCTGCTTTTAGGTAAGGAGACTTTCAGCGCCTTAGAGCACTTAAAGGGTTTCTGTGCATGATTCTCCCTCTTAAAATCATGAAATCTTGAAGACACAATGTCTTTTAATCTCACTGATGCCATATAGCAATGGGTACTATAGATTAGTAACATTTTATGAAAAATATTTCTTGAATTATATGTACATTTTTTCTTTTTCCAAATACACTACTTTTATATGAATGTTATTATATTATTTGTTATTTATGTTTCTCTAACTAGATAGCCTGATCCCTCTAATGTCCCTATTTTAAAAAGTTCTTCCGATTCTGGATCACCTATTGCCTATTTGCTTTTGTCAAGACAAATCTTTTGGTACGGACAGGCAAACCATGAACAAAAACTGAACAGGGCAGTAATGGATTTATACAATATCTTCTCTCTCTTCACAGAACCATACAAGTTAACATCTTATTTGAGACCATTTATGAACACTAAAATTAGCCATGTTTATTAGCCATGTTTTAAATCAGTCTGTCTACAGTGGTGTTTAGGTCAGATCATGGAGAGATCATGGATCTTCCATGCAACATCATGGAAAACATGGAGATACATCCTTTAGATAATACATCATATCATAATCAGATTCACACAAATGAGCACATTAAAAAAAAAACACTCATAGAAGCCGTATGCAAACCCACAAACATGCAGAGAGAAACACAGAGAAAAGTTATCTTCACAAAACCACACTAAAACCAAACTGACACCTGCTAAGCATTCACAACATTAGGAAGCTACAAGCTGAGTACGTGGACTCAGTGCTGCTATAGCTGCATCATACACGTTCTCAGATGTTGATTAATGATACTGCTCTTGGCAACATGTGCGTTTGCATCTCGGGCTGATGGTTCCCAATGTCATTCTCCAGGTTGTAGAATTTGCCATCAAACATCACCAAGGCTGAAAGAGCACACTGAGCTGGTCTACAAGCAATAGAAAAAGGACCAGAAAGAATGATAAAGAAAACAAATACACCTGAAAAAGCATAGCTTTTCAGGTGCAGAGCAGTTGGGGTTTGTTCCCAGGCTTAGAGAAGCTCTGCTGGTATTCCCTGCAGCCATTCCCTGAAAATACTGTGCTAGCAGAGAAAATAGTTCCAGGCTGAGTAAGGACGGCTTAAATATCTTTGAGCTCTCTTGATGCCACATTTTGAAAACCAGTCTGAGACAGTAAGGTGCTTGTAATGAAGCATTAAAAAAAAAATGCGTTGTGCTACTTGTGACTAAAGCAAGATCAGAAGAGCTATTCCTTCAGGCAAACAAACCCTCAAGAATTAGCAACTCTGCCAGTACCTGTGCACTGGTTATGCTACAGCTTCTCCAAAGGCTGATGTGTGTTCGTCTCAGCTATTCTAATTATTTCAAACAAAGAAAAGCTCACAGATAATGAGATAATGCAAGGGGCACCTGAACAGCTCTTGGACTTCATTCAAGCCAGTTTCTCTTTAAATTCTTTGGAAAGAAACCTCAGAGTGTAGCAATGTTCTGTTTGTCCCCCCTCATGTCTTCCTGTAAGGGTCAAATGTGCTCAGGTAGCACCAAAATACCAAGCAGTGAAAGGATTTAGGAGAATTTATTCCCAAAGTTGAGAACAGAAATCTGCACCTGGCCTAGGAAAAGACATGCCACGCCCTGTATTCTTCTCAGGGCTTTTATTGTCCCTACCTCCACTCCCCTTCACTGTGGGGGCCTTCAAAAGTGTCCACAAGAACTTTTCTCATACCAAGCAGACCTTCTCTGCAATGCAGGAGGAGAAAATATCTAAAACTGTCTCTTGGAAAGATAACCCTCTTTTCAGGCAGGGAAGCTTTCTTAAGTGAAATAAACCCTAATCTCCTCGTAATAGCTCTTTTGAAAGGGTCTTCTACACTTACACTTCCCAAACCTCTCTTTCATGAGTAGGAGAAAACCCAAAACTAGCAAGTGGAGACTTACATGTATCCATATACTCCATCTCATTTAAATGAGCTCACATTTTGAGTTATCATTATGTAAGATACCAACTGCCCAGAAAATTTTACACCAATGTCATGATCCTCTTTATCAATTACCAGTACATTTCCCTCAATTGTATGGAAACTTTGGAGGAAAGCAAGGATTAAGTAGCACTCCATGGCCTATGAAACCAGAGTTATAGCAAGGTATGTAGGCACTTAGTTCTTCTGGCAGATATACCTCCTTTTCTTTCAACAATTATTTTTAACACTACTTTTGGATGTCCACTGTGAGAGAACTAGCCTTGCTTTCCTTTCTTCACTTGGAAAGCAGGGGGAATTACTGGTTTGGATGCCATATAGAAATCCATCCAGTAAAGGTGCCAGTTCTAAGCACTATTCCATACAGACACTTATTTGCAGATGACACAGACCCAAATATGAATGATACCAAATACCTTTTCTGCTACAGAAGCAGTCACTCCCTAGGGGCAGAATTATTACACAATTGTTCAGGTTAACAGGTGAAGATTAGTATCTTGACTGAAAGAGCAATAACTTTACAGGTGGTAGGATGCATCACAAAACATAGCTCAAGCTCTCTTGTATAAGTGGTATTGTGGCTGTAAATCATAAGACTCACACATTCTTACCACAATTGGACATCATCTCGATTTCATAATTTATTAAGTAATTATGGTTAAATATAAATATAGTATTTATTCCCTTTTTTATTTATCTACTGTTTCCCTTCTAGGAAGTGCTGGAAGTCAGTCCATGCTCAAAGCCACTTGTGTAGATCTGGTTACAAAGCAACTGAGCATCCGAAATCTTGTAGGCTACGAAAAGCACACTCAAGCAAATGCTGTAATGTAAGTACGTAGTGCACAGTTTACCTTCAGACTTGCCTATGCAAACATGTTACCAACGAAAAGGGAAGGGGCATCATGGCCCAACTCACTAAATCTGCCAAGTTCGGGTCACCTTTCCAGTTCTCCCATGAAGGACTCACCTGACAGCTGAGGGAGTGATGGGACATGAGTGGGCCTCAGAGAGCTGGGAGTTGTCTGCTGTTCATGAATATGGGCAGAAAGCTCACTGAACAGTCAGATCCTTGGTGGTCAGCAAGTGGGGAAAAATCTCAGCAAGGGTGGAGCAGTGCACTGAATTGAGCCACGGGGGAAGATCATGTGAAAGAATAAGGGGTTACTCTAACTCCTAGGAGCTCTGTTTGGTCTTATGAGCTCACTAGCATGCATTTTTATCATTTCTGGGATCTACTACTGGGACATTAATATTCATCATGATTTAATCTGAAGTCTCAGAACAGTAGGTATGCTCCTTTTTTTAATATCATTATGTATGCACATCATCATGTATGTTCCACATATACCCATGCCATGAATAGGGAACTAACATCGCTTGCTTCTGTTACTCCAGCTAACATCTACAAACTCCAGCATTTGAAATTGTTTAACCACTTTTTTTCCCCATGTTCTGCATGAAAACCAAGAACAGCAAATCTGAATTTAGAGACTGGAATTTAATGGCCGCTTGGTTTGCTTTCTTTCTTCCTATAGGTTTATCACTAGAAATGGTATCAAGATCTGCGTAAGTGCTGATCAGAAATGGGTGCAGACTGCCATGAAGAAGATAAAAGAAAAACTTACCACCAAACGCAAATAATCCTGTCCTAGATAAGCATCTAAGGCCAACCAGCTGGAAGCATCAGCAGTGCTGCAGATAACAGGGAAGAGAACCTTAGTGTCTGCTTTTATTTCCTATTTATTAAGTGACAATAAAATCTGTGAACAAACACAAACTCACAGAATCTGTTCATCACTGGTTGGATGTCTGCTGATTTCTTCATTTTAGGACTGAACTCTGTTACACTATTTGTTTTCTGAAATGTTTGCTAATATTTATTTACAACTGAATGTAGACACCTTTTCATCCTTGTTGTCTTAACCAGTCTGGCATTTAAGGGTGAATGACAGATAATTTGACATACTGGAGGGAAGAAGTTGACTTCTCATAGAGCTGGCAGAGTGTAGACCTCCATCCTGGTGGAGATCAGAATGTTCTTCATTGAGTGCTGGTTTTAAGAAGGTGCTATATAATTTAATGTTTAGTCATATCTATATAATCTATAAGCAAACTAATTTCATGCTTCGGGCTATCTCTTGATCAGTGCAATACTGAGAAGAAGATTCTTGAGCCTTCTATTTTTACAAAAATATTGCAGCATTATCTCAGTTTACAATGATGTAGGGATACTCTCATCAAGGGATGATGAGGAGTAACTCAGTGTAACTCTAGGAATATAAGCCTGTTCAGTCTTGTCCTAGGGAAGACTTATTCTACCCACTGATATCTGTGAAGTTACTTCAGTTTCATCCTCACATTAGACAAACCTGAAACAACTGGTTTGCTTTTCCCTTTGCTTTTCTCTGAGTAAGAACAAACCATATCTGGAATCTGTATTTCACAAACTTGTAGGAATACATATAAATGTCTTATCTGTTTAAAACTGATACATACTGCAAACAGAAGGGTTTGAATTTTAATAAAGCTACTATGAACCTGAATAAAGTGGTACATTTGTCTCTTGTATGTAAAGAAGGCAGATACTGTAGAAATGGATACCAAGATGACAGCACAAATCTGAGAACTGAGGGGCAAGTTAGTTAGAGCTGACACTACTGTCAACTCATGACTCAGATTGGTCAAAAGCAATCTGATTCTGAGCTTTCTACATCATATTACAGCTGTAAAGCCCATACTTCAGACAACACCTCTTCAAAAGTTCAGGTACTTAAAAAACAAACTTCATACCATGCCAGGATGATACCCACATTATCACAAGCAGGCATGGAAGAGCTCTGGGCAGTGAGAGAAAAGGAATGGCATTTGAGGAGCTTGAGGGGTGCAGGAGAGGTAGAGGCAGATGCACTCCTGCAGTAAACTTCCTCTCATATTACCACATGGATGTAGCCTGCACTGCAGCCAATTTATGGGCTTTTTGTCACAAATAACCTCTTAGAATAACTCATGGAATTACAGCACTTCCAAACTATGCCATGGAAATGAGATCACTCTAAAAGCCAGTCTTTAGACTTCCCTGCTTTGGTCAAGTCCACAGATAGAATCTGTCTCCTGTGGCTCACATTTTGTCAGAGTTCAGTCCTGTGTAGGGAAATGCATTTAGTTTCCATTGTCCAAGACAGGATTTTAAGCAGTGCCATTGCTCAGGTAGGGAATAGAAGGATGACTGTATGTGTTACACTACAGAAGAGAGTCAAGGCAGGCTACTGAGATTCCATTTTATGGAGTGATGCTTCCTTATTGAAGTTCTCGGCATAAACAACACTAGGGAAAAAAATAGATGTTGCTACAAACTTTGTAAGGAGACCTTTACCAGTAGAAAGAAATTTCGAGAGTAAGATGTTACTGGAGTATGGCAGTGTATATATATAAACTGTGTTCATTAATTTTGAATTGCTGATCTCAAGGCCCCAGACCCTCATATTACAGACAACAGAAACACTTCTGTTCCCTTCAGCTTCATCAGACTATTAGTAAGCTACAAATCCAGGTCCCCTATAAAAGTATTTTTATGGAAAGCTCTCTCAGATGAATATCATCAATTTCCATGGATCAAATTTATCCAGGACTAGAATTAACTAACATGCTTTTCACAGGCAGAATTCTAATGCCTATGCACTTACTCAATGGTATCATATCTTGAAATTAATCTTACTGAAGTGAATATAATTTATTTTTTAATTAAGACTATCACAACCTGAGGATATATTAATTAACCATCACATAGCAATTAATACTTTATAACTGTTCATCTTCATCATAGTTCACTCCCCTTATTACAGGCCACAATGGCCATGCCCTTTGTCATGTTGAGAGCTATTTTTGTCTGTCATTTACCACCCACCCCATGCTATCCACCCACAACTTGTAGTTTGGTTAGAAGATTTCAGAAGAAAGGAACAGACTTACAAAGAAAACTCCTACAGGTCCTGCCCAGAAGATTTAAAAAATATTCTGCTGTCATGTTGTGGCTTACCTTCTCTCCCATTTACTGTTGTATGAAACAGTAAATAACTATCCCAAAACCAAGCATGGGGTTGTAATATAAATGAACCTTCTAACTTTGTGAGGCTCATTTAAGATATTTCCAGAGCCTGTTCTGGTTCAAGGCCTGCTTATTGCCCCTACTCTGTTCCTTTAAAGAGAGCACAGAAAAATGGGGTAGCACAGCAGGCCCTTTCCTGGAATTTTTTTTCCTACCTGTCTGTCTGTGGCTTAGAATAAAAGAGTCTAGACCAAATTATTACATGTTTTTTATGCAAAGAAAGAGGCTAGTCCTGTCACCAAGGCAGAAGAAAAGGACTCCAAAAATACAAGCTCACGTCCTGCTCTACTAATGACTCATTGTTCATTTTTGTGCAGCGGTTGTTACTTGATTTGGGTGGATTATTATGTATTATATGGAATATTTCTTGCATTAAGCCCTTAAAAAGTGAAGAAAAAAATACCTCAAAAGCTATTTAGAAACCATAACACCTGAAACAAATCTGATAACTTCTTTGTTCCCCCTGGGTTTCTGAGCCTTTTAGTTCCGCTCTGAGGTTACAGTTTCCTCAACAACCATTAGGTGATAAAGGATTTGTTGTAAGACTAAGCACTAGGACTTGAAGCCTCTCTGAAAGATTGGTGTCAAAGAAAGAGACTGTAAAGGTGCACAAAAACGTGAATACACACACGCGAATACATGTGCAAGACAAGGGTTTTACAGGCTTCTCAGTGGGGAAAATACCTGCTTCTTTCCTACCATCTGCTGTCTAATGTCCACCATGTTGCCAGCTCTAACATGCCCAACTGCTCTGAAACCATTAGCAAGTTACCCTGGTATTCCCCAGTGGGACAACGCTGACTCACAAAAACTCTCAAGTGATAATTGCCTAGTGCCTTTCTGTGCAGTGTGAGAAGAAAATGACTGTTAGGGCTCCAATCTACCTCCAGGGTCAGCACACCTGCTCACAAACAAACCCTGAACAGGAATTGCTATGCTAAGAGTTGCCAAATCACCTGGTACTATCCTTGAGCTACTTTTCATGAGGTGCTGTCCAGTTCACGTTTGCTTTATTAAGGCCTTCTAGCATTAGTATCTCTCATGAGGGAGACCTCATCTGCTCAGGGGAACCTGTTGTAATGATACCAAACGTGTTAAGCAATTAAATTGGCACAATATTGCAGATATCCATTTCTATATTTTTATTATGCTAGAAAAAAATAAAGTGATCATTACTTACTGGATACAATCAGTTACATGATTGTAAAAAACTTACTCTAAGGCATATGTTTTATGGGCTCAGATTTAACGTTTAAAACAGCTGGGGTTAACTTCACTCTTTAAACTCAAATTGGTTGATTCCTTCCTATCATGACTACTTGTAGTGAGTGAAAGTTACACAAATGTCTAAATGCAGTCTTTTAAACTAGAGACATAAGAAACAGTTATCACTCAGAGAAAATATGGAAAGAAGCTTTGTGTTTACAGCTAAAGATTTTAGCAAAACTATAGCTGGGTGGGATTTTCTACCACAAAAACGATTTCAGACATCTCAGGCCTCCAGCTGACACTCTGGAATTACATGAACATATTTGCAAACTCTTAAAATGTGTTTTGCTTTGAAGTCCCACAGAATTCCCTGTGGCTGCCTAAGAGAGCCCCTACTCAAGAGCAGGATTCACAAGGTGACTTCTGGTGATGGTTACGTTCTGCAGGGGAGGGCGTGTTTTCTGCACTTTCTCTCAGCCAGGCCAAGACTCTGTGGTATCAACCAGGGCTCCCTGGAGGTCAGGAGGAAGCATTAAGCTTTTGACAAGCTCCACCCCACAGAAGGGACGTGCTAGAGCTGCTCCTAAAGATATCAGCGGGAGAAGCCACTGGAATACACAGCTATTGAGATTGGGGCTCCTCATTCCTGTTTCCATTAACCAAACGAGGCTTTCCTTTGAAGCGTCATCTCCTTGTCAGTGGTCTGTTGGTCAGAAAGTGTCATTCTGTGCTTCTGTGGGGCTCTTCACATACCATGTTCAAAATGTAGACAGCACAGTACAGCAGAAAAGTAGCTAAATTGGAACAGGCTAAAATAAAACATTTCAGAGAACTTCAGCCACAACAGGGTTTAAACAGGAAATACTTTCACATGAGGGCTACTAACAGATAATGGACAAGAAAGACATAGTTCTCTGTCACCAGAATTTAAGTTTTCTACATATGTACCCATTGCTGACAACTGAACAACAGTACATAAACTCCATGAAAGAAGGCTCGTGCAAATCACTTTTTTTCTGCCTTAGCACAGAAGCTACCAGCAATGAAACTCATGCCACGGGTATTCTGGTCATCTGTCAGCTTCATATCTTCTTTGTGCACAAAGTGAGACGCAAATTTGCAGACCAACAGGAAGACAGGAATTCCCAACCACATTGCACTCGCAGTCTGATCAGTTTAGAATTCATTATCAAACAGAGCTGATTCATCTGATCAAACCAGTAAGAAATGTTGTTGAAGGCAATTACAGCATAACTTACCTAATGAAAGATTCATCCTAATGGTGGCCTTCCAACTTAATGTAAGGAGAGTTTCTGTGCCTTAGAAATCTTATTTTCTTTCCTGTAACTGCAAAATCTTGAAGCCATGTATATAATGTATTTAATCTCATTGATACCTTAT